GAACAAAGCTCAAATTATTAATCTTTCCATCAAGTTTACAAAGTTAATTAAGTTGCTAATGCATACTGTGTTATATACAATTAGAAAAGGATTGGAAAGTATGGAATTCTTTAACATCAGTAAAGTAATGATTGCATTGAACCGAACATTTAAAAAAATTACTGATGACTCTTCTAGTGAAGAAGACACTCTGATATCTTCCTTGATGTATGAAAATAAATTGATGAGGAAAGGAAGTTATTTACCGATCATATTTCAACCTCTGACAGAGTAACTCGTGGGAGTAATCACTGTTTTTGACTACAGAAGAAAGAGTAAATGCTTAAAATCTTACTCTTCTTTCTAATTGTAAATCAAAAAAAGGAATTAGTGCTTTAGTAAATGAATGTCAATAACTCTAAGCAAAGAACTTACAATGTTACAGATATATGGATGTGGGTTCTTTCTTTATTTTATTTACTGGTAAGAGTATCTCATATCAATGTATAGCCGGCAGAACTATTACTACTAGTCTTGAACTAGCGAAATTGTCCCAGTGTAACCGACCAATGTCTGAATCCACGACAAAATTTTCAGTTTCGGAAGGATTTTACCTTTACAAACTATACAGTAATATAAACTTCTGTCAATACTTTTAAATCATTCAGTTATATCAAAATTTAAACTTTGTAGCATGCACATATAGCATATAAGATGCACTTTAAACCTGCGATAACTGTTATCTTCAACTCCACTGACTTTGCGATATGTCATCACATTCTGCCAACCAGTCTTCTGATCCACCGACTACTTTATTCATTTGAAAATTTTATTTAACACTAATTATGAAGTAACTTGAACAAAGCAAGAACTACAGTTTTAGCAGAATAAAGTGGTACCATCTTTTATTTCGTCACCTTCTCGTCAGCTGCTTACAGGGCAAAAACATTATTAAATCTATCTATAAAAACAATTTAACATGCTTGCACAGAGTTCATTTTAAACAAAAATCAATCGATCACTATACTCATACACTAATAATATATATATATATATGCAATATTAAACAAAATTCCGAACAATAATAATCATACACAATGAAAACTTTTCAGTATCTCGCATTCGGATGAAAAATATCCAGTTACCAGGGTAAAGAAAGACTGATAACCGATTCTTGCTGAACGCACAAATCAGGTTTTAGGCACTTGATGGAAATGGCTTCAGCAAACTTAAGGAGAATTGAGCTCTTTTGCTTATTGATAATTTTGAAAGACTTTTCGACGTCCACCTCATGACCCGTGTCAAGAAGATGCCTGGCGATGGCACTGTTAAAAGCATTTGTTCCCTTTAGACGTAAGCTTCTTGGTACATGTTCAGAAAATCGTAGATATGCTAATGAGAATTTAGAAATGATTTTGCCTTGGTTGGTAGGTAAATCTTGAGAGTGCTAATCTTCACGATCAAATAAAGCGTTTCATTCAGTATACAAATCATCTTTTATATCTCTAGACATAGTTGTCAGTATTATTCCATAACTGTGAATTATTAAGCATCGATTTTACCCTTGCTTGCAAAACAAATAAGCAACTAACTTTACAGAAGACATAATATGTACTGATAAACAACAACTCAATTCCTAGTGATCTTCAACTCACATGCCTATCCAATAGGACTAACAAGCCTGTATAGCCAAATATCCCATGTGACTGTTTAAGCTAGACAATTAGTAGAATATCTTGCAAATGACCCTCTATTATTTCTGAATAGTAAAGAAGATAAAAATATCCATTGAATCAGGTGAAAGCTTGCATAACTGATTCGAAAATAATTCTGTAATTTAGATGACTAACATCATAACAATCTCCAATAAACTGGACATACACAAATCTCATCAATTTGCCTAGAATGCAATATAAATTCTCTGTGACTTTAAACCAAATCAACTTTTTTGTTCGTTACTTGAATCTGTCTTCAAAATTTATTGTTGTCTATTTGTTTTTTTCCAACAAACCGGAATACCGATTATCAGGCCATCACTTCTCATAATGTTTTTCATTATTCACTTGAAAAGATAAAAGTATTAAAGCTTGCCTAAAATAAACTGGAATTATTTGATGATGATCTTACTTTTTCAATGCAAATTTGGCTGCACAAGTCTATCCAGTTCACCTAGTTACATATATATATATATATATATATATATATATATATATACATTCTAAAAATGTGCGGGATGATATGAAAATGATATTTTCCAGAAATTTTAAGACTACTAGAGGAAAATATCAATCTGTCTACTACATAAATCAATGAAATATGAATAAAAAAGTATGTGAAACAAGCAATTACAGCAAGAAAGCAAATGTAGACAGAAAAAAAGACAGTGATAGAGCAATAACTGTCTCCTATAGCATAGACTTAACTATTTGAACAGTGACAAATAAAACTACTGGATATATATACATTTATATGCAAGTCTTGACAAGAACTTGGAGAACTGATGACGACGAGTATCATCGTTTTTTGTCGCAAAAACAAAATGGTCGCCCCTTCATTCATTCAAGTGATAATTCTAGCTTTTATTCTACTAAATTACGTCAGCTATAAAAAGATAACACAAATGTCAAACCACAGCAGGATGTTTAATTACCACAACTAAATAAAAATGATTTTAGTGCAAACAACTGACCAACTGTTTAAAATATTTTTTCGCCCTCCATTTTTACTGAAATGTTGCATAAATTACAGGATAAGTCCATTCAACGATTAATAATCATTATAATAAGTAAGAAGACTAAGGTCTTACAATGCTTCATTGCAGATCTTACGAGTTTTTTCTTCTGCGGCATACGTTACCAAAACAATCTACTGATGGAAATTGTTAAGCACGAGACCTATATAATATCACATAACCCACTCTTGAAATATACAACACAAGGGTTATGATACTTGTACTACAACTGTCAATAACCACAAGAAAAAAAGAAAAATTACGAAAGACAAGTAATACAGTTCAAATTCATGAGAAAGAGTTGCTGAGAGCCTATATGCATAGACGGTCTTAGGCGAAATCCGTAAATGTGTTTCTAATTGTTTGTTGGTGGCTATCAATAGGATCCAAGATGCGGGTTTCGTCCAGTTCAGACTCATCGGGAGGGTGTGCTCAAACAAGCAACGGGATGTGAATTAATCTGGCTGTTGAATCTTAGGTAGAAATAAACATGTCAGCTGGAATTCAGTATTAGTAAACACCAAAAAAGTAACGAAGAGTTAGTTATTAAAGTAATATTTGAGGCTCCAATTTGCTAAAATGAGGTTGATAAATTTAGTCGACACATGTCAGCAAAAGCCACAACTTTAAATAATTAAACTGTAGGTATCTATGTAGACCATCGAAGACTATGTAGAAGCTCCCATAAATACTTCCTTTCCTTAATAAACGTATGCCAAAGAGAGATTATTGGCAAAGCAAGAAGGAAATTAGCATTTTTATGGGATGCATGATGCGTGCAAATTCACCTAATAAGGAATAATTGATCTCAGTATAAAACATGGACACTGTGGTAGAGTATAACTCCATGATGCATAAGACTTTATTTTGACAAATCACACAGTGTTATAGAGTAATATTAAATGATTAGGTTTCGAGCACAAACTACTGCTCATAGTCATATGAAGTCACTCACACAACTTTTTACTGCATTGCAGGATTTCATCATGATCTGACATTGGTAAGAGAACCATTGGTAAACCTGGGAGTACTGGACAGCTATTTCTTCCCCGTTTGGGATTCTTCAGCAGTACGCATCCACCGAGGTTCGAACCCAGGACCTTCTCAATCGATAAAAATCAACATAAGATATTCAAATGTCTAATCAATTGCATTCATGTACATAAATGAAGTAAAAGGTGATGTGATTGATTTCATTTAATTATGAGCAATAGTTTGTGCTCGAAATGCCATCAGTTAATATTACTGTATAACAATGTGATTTATCATAATAAAATCTTATCCATAATGGAGTAATAAGGAATAAAGCTAACATTATCTCCATTTGACAAGAAATTCGTTTCGAAATAAGTATGTATCATCCTCTAAGCAAACTGGAAAATGTTCACACAAAGAGCACTACCAAATCAGTAATGAACCCACTAATTTTGATCTAAGAAGCTAAATATTTGCGATAACAAACTACACTACTTACAAGTAGGCTAAATCATGTTGAAAAACGTTCGGGACAGTTGGTATATATTTTGGACGTCACTCTTTACTTGGTACGGAATAATCCCAGGATTTTACTGCAAAATGTGTTTTCCTTGTGCAGAACTTCAAAGTAGCATAACAATCGACAGTGAAATGTTTAGTGAAATCTTGTTCAATCTGAAAAGAGCTGAGAACTCCGAGGATATTCTTCTTCCAGAGAAAACAAAGTGATATTTTGAAGCCAATTTAAAAATGAGCATCAGTAAAGAATACGACTTGAAAATGAATGGAATGCAGTTTATTCTAATAGAAATTTCTGTAGCGCAGTAGCTTAAGCGTAGACTTAGTAAAAACTACTAAGATGTCAAAGAAAGAGTTATAATAAGTAACACGAAATCACTCATTATCTGTTATCGCTGGTGATATTAGTTGGTACTTAGAAGCATTAATATTGTTTCTTGCCAAGCAAATAAACCCTCAGGAATCCGAACAAGTAATCATGATATTAAAAATAAATTATTACTTATTTAGACTTGTAATTTAACGTTGTTAATTTTACCAAACTAAATAAATCAATTTCGTTTGGTATATATGTGTACCTGATGAGTTCAAGGTACAATGACACGTACACTTCCGCTTCTAAACACCAAAGAACAAGTGAATTTTTTAAATCTTTTCTTTTCGCCCAAGTCTTGCGAAATACTGTTAGCAGACTATGCTGATGATATGCAACGCTAAAATGTAACAACAAATTAACTACACCCAACCTATCGAAAGGTAATTGAAAAAAACCAACAGGTGGAATAATTCACAGCAATAGGAGAAAAAAACTAAAATTTTTATAAAAAACCATTACATTAGCCATCTCCAGATTATGCGTTCTGTACAAATAAGCGTGTACATTACACGTTAATAAAAAGGCTTATGATTAAAAAGTACTTTTTTTCAATTTTGCATCAATTATCAACAAAGGTGGGGTAACAGGGAAATACAGAATATCCGAAAGGGTGGATAAAAAATGACACCCAAATAGTCAGTATTAAAACGCACATACACAAGTGAGTGTTAACGATGAACAAAAGCACCTGGCGTAGGTAGATAACGAAGAGGCCGACTTCTCGTTGGATATCTGTTGAAGAAGCCCGGGGAACAATATAAATAAAGTGAAAGTGATTGTATCGTATAGACATCAGAATCAATAAAATTGTACAGGCATAAAATTAACCACTAACACACTAAGCTACCATAGTCAATTTTCCACAGTGACAACAACAATGGTAAACTTGTGACATCCATACAACTGATGTGAAAATCAGTAACAGGTACAGCAGGTCACGTGTGAGGACAAATACTCGCTAGTAGTAGCGCTACGTCGTGAATTTGCAGATGTTGAAATGCATGGGCTATTGGATCAGGACCCAGTGACTTAGTGGTCTACGAGCTCCCTAGCCTTGTAACCAGAGGGTCTTGGATTCGAACCCTGTCGGTGGATGCGTATTGATGAGGAGTCCCAAACGGAAATGAAACAGATGTCCTGTACTCCCAGCTGGTTTTGCAGTGGTTCTTTAACTGATGTCAGCTGGTGATGAAGTCCTGTAACACATAACTGTTTCCGAACTCCCATTTACGCATTTAGAAAAGACAACAGATTAAGCGAAGAAATATATTCCTTTACAATTAATTCCTCATCACCTCCCAACTTGGTCTGGCAAATGTACGAATAAAGCTATATACGTAGTTCACTTAACCTCCCGCATGGTCTACGAGTACGACTTTTACGTACAGCAGAGGCAATCGGAATTCATCTGAACAAGTCAAATCTATGTGTTCAAAATAGATTTGTACAGCCTCTTTCTTTGCCATGGCCAAATACATAATATGTATTAAGTTTTTAAAACGATTTTTTCCCTCCCCTTGTAACCATCTTTTGACTTTGTTAATTTTTACAATTTTAGCTAATTTTATCAACTTGTTTCTATTTTACGTAACTCTTCTTAGTCATCATAGCTATTTTGCAAATTTCTCGATTATGTAATAACTTGTTGCCAACTCCTAAGAATCAGCTTATCTTGAGTTTCCTAATTAATTCTCATCCCTATTTTAAAACTTAGATATCTTGTTGCTAACATCTATTAGTTATTTGTTTTGATGACCTTTAACCTCTTGATTTCACTCCCGCCTATACCTAAAACTAATTAACTAAAATAACCACTTGATTGGTAAGAGAAATTTTGATGTAAAAAACTATATATTAGTGTAGAGCCGATGATGAGGAACTAATTGAAAAGGAACATAACTGTTTGTTTAGTGATAAAGTCTTTACCAACAAGTTGGCTTATTGACTGTGCTGCACCTCAGTACTTCGGACTAAATATCCACACTAGTTACAACTCTTTCAACCATTAAGCAACGGATACTAACTCCACTTCACCGGGTAAAGTGGTATCATCAGCTCTTGGATAATAGATGTGATTCATTGCCAGATATCGACATAAATGCAAGTGTTTAGTGAGTAACATTTCTTCCTTTATTTTTATCTTTCTTCCAGAATATTTCACTTTCAGATTGTAAATGACCGTATATAAGCTAAATCCCAATAGAGGAAAGCTGATAATTATCACTAATCATTGAATAACACCAAATACAATGGATTATAAGATTCACTGAAATTAATTTATCAGACACATTTTGATTTTATTCTCAGTATACTTTCGGAAGAAAAAGAAAAACAAGAAAATACACGTAATTTATCCAATAATCAATTTATTTTTTCAATAAAGTCATTCAAAAAAGTAAATTCTACCAAAGGGAAGTCTATGTTCACAACCACAATGACTGGAAAGTCAATTAATGTTTCATATCCTTCACTTTTAATATTTTTATTATACGATACCCAAAATAATATAACGAGTAAACTAGCTAAAAATAACTAAAGGATATGGTGGCTTTAGAAAAATGATACCTTACAAGTCTAAAAAATCGCTTATCTTCAAGAAGTAAAAAAAGCACATCTCGCTTACTTGACACCACGAACAGATGAATTATTATTTGATGATTTCAATGAATTCCTCCACATAATTTGATCTCGACATAGAGCATCAATACAAGAAGCACATCGAGCTAACTGACATGATAATATATTACGACACCATTTACTTAACTCAGTACACTGACTATTGTTGTCGTTATTATTATGAGTAGTAGTGGTAGTAGTAGCTTTTGATGAAGTGTCTGTAACACTATTATTACTACTACTGTGATTTCCAACATGATTGACAACTGCCAGTCCAACATTTTGATCTAAAGACGCTATAAAGAATTCATGCCAATAACAATTGACTTCAGTTTCTAATTCCTGAAATTTAAATTTGAAATGAATAACTTTTCAGACTAATATTTCTCTTTAAAAGAAAATAACTTAGTATTTTAAAACCTTTTTAATTTACCTCTAGCTTAAAAATAAACTGCTGCAAAATATACATTTGAAATGCAAGTTTGGGTGCTATTCTTTAAAAAAACGCAACGATACATTTCAGTAACTACAGGTAATAAATTAAAACTGTTGTACGAAGGTTAATGATACCACCTGGCTGCACCAGCTTAGGTAGGTAGGAGTAAGAAAGCACGGCCCACTAGTTTAGAGTCTAGTCAATAAATCAATGTGGCATAACTTCACACTATGCACAGTCGACATTCGATGAAATCATTCACATTTAGAACCTAACCACCAGATTACTAACTAATTCCTTTATGACGCAGAAAACGCAGGGGGGAATGCTTTTCAATGCATAGCAAATAAAGATAAATTATGAACACAATTATCAACCTTGCTAAATAGGACATTTATCAAATGCTACTAGTCTATGAGAATAGAATACTGAAAAGATTGGAAAGGATAAAAACGAGTACTTGCAAATACTTGCAAAAGAGGCTCTTTCTAGTTTTAGTAACAAAAAGTCAAAGGGAAAAGTGTGACAACTATTGCTGCTTTTATTATACGTCAACAAAATACCTTAACTAACAATCGTAGGTTCACCGTTTGTGATAACAGCATGGAATTCTAAAATTTGCCTTAAACTTTACATAACAGTAGTTCTTTTACGAGTTTCAAATCAGAATTACAGTTAGAACTAAAATTTCACATTTTTAGCATTTCGACCTAAAATATGAATGATACCTGTTAGTTTTACTAAATTATGCGTTACACTTGATCTGTTGGGGTTTAAGACACCCACCTCGTTCCGCGAATCAAAGTAGCCGGGGTAAGATCTGATCTAAGAGTCACATAAGATTATTGGTATTTCAGTCTATAACACATACCTCTACAAAGTAAACATGATAAAACAATTCACAAGCAGATTTACAGAAAGCCTATATCTTAAAGAAAACTTGACAACCTCCCAGTTAAATAACGCGTAAAAGAAATTGAACTTCTCGCGATAAGAACCATAACCACAAGGTAATGTTTAAAGATATCATTAAACCACGATTTCAAACCGATTGGTCAGCATTCACCTATTTCGATCAATCAGTGACAAAAGAAACCACTTTGAATCATCTAGGAGTTATGATCAGAGAAAAGAAGTTTACTTCAGAGGACTGATAATAAGTTAACCAAGTGTCTTTCAAAGAAGACCCTTAACCCTAGGAGGAGTGAAAACATTTAAAAAAATATTTGGATTATAGCATAATTTGTAGAATAATTACCAAAAATAAATAAATAAATAAAAGAATACCTGAACATGAAGATCACATAAATCAGTTACACTTTCTTCTGTATTTCGTGAACCGACAGAACCAACATATGAAATTAATCCATCAACAATTAAAAGTGGAGCTTTGTGCGGATATTGAGGTGGGATACAAACCCAAACGTTAACAAAAGCTTTAAAAATAATTTAAACCATATATACATATAAAATACAAAGTTATGTAAGATGAATCTTAGTGAATTAATATAACCATAGATAAATACAAATAGGGTGTTGACATGCTGACTAGTAATTTCCAGGTGTGGGGGTGTGGACGTTCTACAAATGGTTCTACAAAAAAATAGTTCTGCAGCTTACCTACACTTGATATCCAAGGTTGAAGAAAGTGGAAATAACTTCAAAAAGTAGTCAATGAAAGATTAAAAGCACTTTAAAAATAACAGCCGATAAAATAATAACTACAAATTAAATACATAAAGTGATCTTCCAACTTGCAATTGACTGCTCTCATTTTCTTAACCTTCACTATGCTCTCAAATCTGACTTCTTAATGACTTTGAATAGGAACATTAATACTTCTATAATATCTTATAAAAACTCCAGAACATCTGAAGTGAAAACCTGGTTCTTGCATATTTCAGCATACTTTAAAAGCAGTAAAATAACTAGATGTTAATTCTAAAAACATTCACCATGATGAAGAAATAAATCTAACAAGTTTTCAGCAGCATTACTACTGTCAGTGTCAGATTTGAATGGCTTCAATGTAGATTTTGTAAGGAATCGAATCATTCGAAAGCACTGGACAGATATTTAGGCATTCCCTACCCAAAAACGTGATGTATCTAACCTTCATTCTTGATAGGATCTCAGGTGTGTACTACTGAAGAAAGTAAATGAAAAATCCCCATACTGAAGAAAGGCATATTAGAAAGAAACGGCTATTCAATGCTCCTTAATGAAATAAGATTCGCGACAAAATCTGACTCAAATATATTGGATTATGGGTTATTTGTAGGGATTTGGCTTAATTTCAAACCTCGTCACAAACCAACATCAGTTAGAAATCCCCTGAAAACTAGGGAGCACTGAGCAGCTGATTCGTTTTAGTTTGGAACTCTTGAGTAGTGCACACGTACATAACCCCCAAGGATCGAACCTGATACCTTTGAGGTAACGAAATCATCCTCGTTGACCATTTGGCCACTTATTCCGGAATTCAATGACCAGTGATTATATGTTAATTCGTGATACAGTGCTACCCAAAACCAATGCCTTCAATGAGTATCTACTCTAGCTTGACATGAAGGACGCCACTGACCACAACTTCTTATAATCTGAAATTTCTGGGTTCGACCTGTAGTAGGGTAGTGGGTACGTACTAATGAAGAGTTTCAACCTAGGACGAAACAGCTGTCCAGTGCTCCCCAGTTTCCAATGATCTCAAACTGATGTTGGTCCTTGAGGAAATCTACATTGAAATCAATTGTATTACTTTAAGGAATCAACATAAAAGTTTCTCGATATAAACTATCTACTGAGCAACTATCTTCACAAAAGTCGAGAAAATCTGAGCACTACTTTCGTGTTTCCCATTAATCAAAGTGATTAAAAATTCAAGTGACAATAAGAATAGTCTGATGATGAAATAAGTATGTTTACTGTACAGATTACAGACATCCGATTTTCCTGACTATGATACGAAAATATGTTAAATTGCCAAATATTAGATGATAAAAGTGTCTTTCAATTCCATCTGGAATCTACCTAAAGTATTCTTCTACTTGATATCCATAATTTTTTCTGGTATACCACGTTTTTATTTAGCATCACAGTAAAATAAATCGTGGCTAAACAGACTACTATACAGGTGCAGTCATTAACTTTAAAACACTGAACACGTATAATGCATTCCACTATCTCAATATCAGTCGCATGTTTACTTGTGTGTGTGTGTGTCGTGTAATTTACAATTCTATTTCATTTAGTTTACACTGCTAAGTTATTCTTCGTCATCAATATTTTAAAAAAGTATACTCTATCACAAGTAACCTACAATTTTCACTTTTTCCAAAATAACATTGGAAAATTGCATCTTCGGGACGAACCAGATTTAAAGCTATCATAACCTGAGCACGAGGAACAGACTGTAGACAAAAAAAGAGTGTAAAAGAGTTAATTTCCTGTCACCAATAATAATAATAGTCATTAACAAGTATTATTATTTAAATCACCGAAAATACCCACTGAGTCATGAAGAAAATAAAAGACAATTCAGCTAAGGAAATTTTCTTTATCGACGAAATCATCTTCAGAAGCTGTACAGTCGTATTTATATTTACCAAAAATGTATAATAGTCCATTATCGAGTAGTAGGGGTGATATAATTGATGTAATTACTTAGAAGTAGCTTCAAAAGTAGAAATAAAAGTTATAAACTAAGTAATATTCAACGGCACAAATTTAGAAATTTGATAAGGTCAAAATTGCTATTGAGTGAGGAGAAAGATAGTTGAGTGCCCCTTTAACAAGTGTGAAGAGGGTGAAAAAACGTACGAAAGGAAAATGTGAGAGGGATAATAATGAATTAATTATTAAAGTGAAAGCAAAGTAATCATTAAAAATAAAAATAAAAAATGTGCAGGTGACGACTGGTAAAGAGATTAAGGCCACGGTAGAATAAGAGACTAAACATACTTTTCATGTATACAGAGTTTGGGGTTGTATTGATGAATCGCCAACGCCTCCGCCATGCACTAAAGCCGAAACCTGACACCCTTAGTACCATTCGGCCTCACCCTGTAGACAATCTTGAAAGACGACTCTGGTGTAGCTGCGTGGCTTGAGTTCACCAAGTGCTCGAGAACTGTAACTGGCTTGCATTGTCCTTTTGCTAACCATACAGGATAATGTTCACAGATGCGTTTGGAAAGTGTGCGCTTTGTGCGGCCAATATAACTAGCTCCATAGGAGAAAGTAAATTTATGAACACATATTGAAGTGCTCCAAAGAGGCAGTTTATCCTTCACATATCCGTTGATCACTTGTCGACTGTAGAAATTGATCCATACCTCAGCTGAAAAGAAGGCTTTTCTCAGTGACCTGGATTATGGGTTTTCTAGAATCTCAGTTGCGGTATCAACCTCAAACTCAACGTTTAAGAATAGCAGTTTCTTTGGCACCGTCTTGGCTGTTTAGGGTTTTCGCTTTACTTTCATGTTTTTCTCGATGAATCTTGAAGGATATCCATTTTCCATGAGGACTTGTCTGAGTCGTTCCAATTCTCCGTCGATTGTATCACTGGTACGTATCCTTCTTATTCTTGAGGATTATTGAATTAACTGATGGTGTCTAAGTTGATATTATTCAAAATTTGTCTTGTTTGCTGTTTAATAAAGGAAGACATTATCGGCAGATTCAGAAGGAATGCGTAGATCGGATCTAAAGGAACATTGTCTAGAAGGCACACTCACTTAACAATCACACCGACCACATTCAAGAACACTTTCAAGTAATAGAAATCTGAAGTCTAGTAAATCCCATAATAATGATAGTACTAACTATTATTCTTCAGGATTCAGACACACCGGAGACTACTATCTAATCAAAGCAGTAGTAACAGGAAGGACAGGATTCACCTTTCAACTGCAAAACTGTACATGATGGAGATACAGATTTATCAAAAATGCAACAAAATTTTAAAAGCGCAATTAAAGGATTAAGCTTAAAACAGTATGATGGCAGATAAGTTTGAATTTCACGGTGCCATCAAAAGATTATTCTTCACGAAAAATCATGATTTAATTTGTAGTGGGCGTAAGCGAAAACAATATTACAATACTGTATTTGATCTTGGTTATCCGGAACAGGTCTTTTTTGAACCAGGATAACAGACACACATATTAAATGAGGGGTTTTGATACTAACCAGTTGCCAAGGCTGAAGTTGGTGACTCAAAATCGTGTGCCTAAACCCATGTGACTCACATCACTACATATTATAATGCAATCATAAATATTATAAACTGGATGAAAATATCTCTTATATTTTCTTTCATCAAACACTTTTTATACTGAGATTATTATTACAGAGGTAAGAGGAAGTAATCACAAATCAACATCCATGATCTATTTTGGCAGTGGTCAATTTAAAAAATATTACCACTGTAAACTCTCACAAGATACCACACATGAGAATCCCTTCCTCCAAGAACGCGGTATCATTTGTCATATCCAATTTACAAATGATAGTCTAGATCTCAGCAACTTATTTATCAAAGATTTAAAGCGCTATCTTGATTAACGTTTAAATAACTTATTCTCTGAATTCAAGGCTAATGATGATTCCTTTTCGTGTTTATTGGTTGCTTGCATATTTGTCAATAATTTAGCCGAATGACTGACTGCTGTTTTAGAAATTCGTTATTACTCCATGAGTTTCTGCTAACTCATATTTTATTCGTTTCTACACTTAAATTTATTGCCCACATGCGACTATGATGTACCCAAGGGTGTTATCGGTAATCCGTTTGTTTCAATGTAGTAATGATAATAACTGCTGCTGCTATTCATATTATAAAGAATTTTATATCACTTGTTTTGCACCATTACATTCGAGTTGTTCTTCAAGTTTACAAAAACAAAAAGAACGATTAAAGTAGATGACAAAATGAGGTGTGGCCTATGTGCTCAATTTCTAACAACCAAGTCATACGTGTTTCACTTTCACATCACTTATGAAGGTTCAGGAAGTATCTTTAGTCCTGACATACAATAGGTGTGGATAATTTCCAGCTACATGGTGATGCAAGTGATTGTTGAGTGATATTATAATGTATGATGCAAAGAATGCCGTATAATTAAAATCAACAGCCTTCAAGATTAGCACCATAGAAGTAATGCAGAAATGTGTCGAGAAGCAAAGTGTATTACACTATTGTAACAAAGTAATCTAAATGGAATTTTTTCAAATACTTATTATGCATAAATAAATAATGGGCACTTTCTATAATCGATAAACGGCACTATAACTACACATTCTCTGTAGACACAAAAATTAAACATCAAATCATTAATACGTACAGTAATATTTTTAGATATTGTTAACCAAAACAATAATTACCCGTAATGCATCATAGTTTGAGTTTTTCCACTTAATAATACCTAAATCAATTTCAGAAGGAATTAATTGCTGTTGTTCAGGTGATAAGACCAAGTTGGAGCGTTCAATTTCTGCAAGCTATGGTAATAAAAAGCGGGAATAAACAGTTAGAAAGACAGCATAAGAGCAAAGATAATTCACTTCGTTGTACAGAATAAAAAATACGTGAAAAGGAGGAAGATATCATGATAAAAATGAAATCTATCGTAATAAAATAAACTAAACTAACTCGTCTCTCAATGCGTAGTTGCTTTTATTCAAGTTAAAGAAATACTAAAGGCGTCAAATTTGGATTTGCTAAATCTAACGGTGTTTCCTTTTACAGGAGTTATTCATTAGTGTCAGCCATAAAGTAGTCGCTGTTCACAATAGTCTGAGATTTTCAACCAGCTTTAAACGTGTAAACAATGAAGCATCATCAGTTGTAGTCGGGCAGATTAAATTAAATAAAAAGTCTATGCTGAAATATCCCGAGATGTCTTTAAAAATAAAAATAAACATAATTGCAAACAACCTGCAAGAAATGACACAACACAGAGCCCATTTTGAGCCGTAATATATAAAACAAATTCGTAGATTTTGTAAATACAGTCAATATTTTTTGAACAAACATGTTGGCAGCTATCGCAAAGGAGCATTTATTTACTGCATTTTCTTATCTGGAAGTCTATATATATATATATATATATATATATATATATATATATATATATTCCTTTGCGTCTAGAGTGGAACATAGGGTTTCAGTAGCAGCAGTGTCCCTTTATAAGGGGTCAGACTGCTAGTCTTGCACCAAACATTCCCTTTCCCCAGGCCCACTACCGGTCAGAAAAGGTTTGGGAAGGTGTGAGGCTAACAACCTCACTCCTCAAAAACACCAAAGTCATTCAAACTTCAAAAGCTTGAAGTCCCATGTTTCATTCGTAACGGAAGGAATAAAAAGACTTATCTGTTTAATCTTTTCGCTGCTAGTATTCTACCTTTGATTGTATGATTTCGAACCCTCTGTATTCCTTCCTAATACCTAAATGATGTGAATGGTATGCAGTGAGGTAACTTGAGCCAGCTCACAGTAATTCAGGTCCTAATGTTAACTATGTGTTCGTGAAAACTTTCTGAACATCATAGGTGACATAAGATATGTTAGTTCATAGGCTAATATTCATAAGGACAGATTAACTTTATTAATTCTGAAATGAAGTGTGCAGACATTCCAAGCAAAGTATTCAACCTTATTATGTGAAAGTGTTTGTTCTATTTAAAATGTGTGATAATATAAATAAAAATGAGTTCACTGCCCGAAATGTACCACTGAGTAGTTGAAAGCTCCTTATAACGACCCAAAGAACACAATTCGTGCTCCAAACGATCTGGATTTCCAAAAAAAACCCAACAAGGTTACATCATTCCTGTGTACTTTTTACTACAAGATATTGAATCACAAATAGGTACAAGGTCTAGTGGTCAAAGTTTCAAAATGTAACGTCTACTAGTGATCCATTTCTAGACCTTTGTCTAAACTTTAAAAATGACAGAAAAAGATCAACTGAAATAAAAGTAAAGAATAATGACCAATAGTAATTCGACAGAAATGAATACTCACTTCTTCAATCAGATACAATCTATCAATAATACGTGACTGAATTGATTTAATCCAAGTTTCAATTTCACCAAAATGCTCGGTTTCACTAGATTTCAATGATGAAGACTGCTCATCAGATTTATTATCAGGTAGCCGATCTGGAAAGCAATTTATTCCTGAAAGTTGTTGAGCCCAGGAATATGGTCGTCCAATAGATTCACATGCATTCCATGAAAGAGATTTTTGTGAGTCAGGTAGGAATAAAATAGGCATATCAGAACTAAAGTCACCAAAACCAAACTGATCACAAGACCATGACAAATTAGACAAGAGTTGTTCAGAATTAAGCAGATCGCTAACAGAAAAATAACAAAGGTAAATATTTTAGAACAAATTAGCATAACGTAATAGACAGAAATATTAAGCTACTTGGATGTAAAGGCAGATAGTACCACAACTATATGCCACTGAAAAGGATCAATAGACATTAATGTAACTTATGTGTCATCTGCTTGGATAATAAATATTCACCAACAGTTAATTATAATTGCCCCATTGCAACATTCAACCTTTAATCAGTAAGTCATTTGACTACCTACGTCTAATCTTCGATAAGTGATACTATCCTAACACCTGTTTACTTCCTACACTTGGTGGCGAAACTAACTTCACCCAAAGCTGTCTTTCACACTGACTATTGACTCATTAAATTAGCCAAGTCGAAGCAAAATCTAAAATTGTTAAAATTCATTCAGTTATTAATACGGTACTTCAGTCTGCTAGCATACTACGTTTCACTAGGAACCCAAGGGAATAATAATAACATAATACAGACTACTTTTCATTATTCTCACTAAAACTTTCTATACATTTTTCAAGCGGACTCCAACTTCCTACCCAGGTTCTTTTTAACTATAGATAATATAAAAACCATCAATTAAGTATCAACTAGAAGCTGTTGAACTTAACACTGGAGGAATTTACTATATATTATATTATGTCTATATTATGCAGTTCCTCTACTTTCTTCTCTTGCTTTGTGTGCTACATGAAGTGTGGCGACTTGAACTGCCGCACATATGTGCAAAGTTTTATATCGAAAACCGACCGACCGGAGGAATTTACAACAATTCAGGATCATTTATTATTGACACAAATATATACCGCTTCCCCAGCAAAAGTGTGCCCTAATTTAAACTGCAGCAGTTCTCATCTTGAACAACCAATTAAAATAAAAGAACGGTAAAACTCAGAAATTCGCTACCATTACGAATTAGGGTTGGACTAAGGCTAGGTTATGATTCGCCACCCTAGTCATTGAGTAGATGCAAACAATTTTGAGTTTCAGCATTCTGACTGTTTATTCAAGGTCATTGTCGGTGGTGCCTATTGTTGTCCAACTCCTTTAAGTAAGCTTTCAAAACAACCATTAAAGTGAAGGAAAAGCTTCCTAAAGTGTGCTAGAAACTAGTTACTAAGTTTGGTGAGAGCTGTCTGCAAACCAAAATTGTAGACAACAATGTTTACGTCCCAAATCGGGGTCATGAGAAAAACAATAACAAAGCCTAACCTTGAGGAACTCAACAACCAATCACAGCAGACCTAACGTGTGCAAATACGATTCGCAGATATATAGATAACTTTGTAAGAAATGGTCACAAGCAGTACAGAATAACCTTCAGCAAGAAAACAACCAATTAGAAAACGTTGCTCCTCTGCTAACAACAATGAATAATAATGTACATAAAAATCTATAAATATCTGTTGATTTTATCAATAAACGATCTGTTGCTTAGTCCTTGTCTTCTGCCGTTACAAGTGCACAAAAGAAAACTGATAAACTTATGCTATGAGACAGTATATTCGAAAGACAAAAATGAGATAATTCTCTCCAAACGATAAAAATTTTGGGATCAGAAAGTTTAACAAGTCAATAATATATATATATGCTCTTCTGTCAATGCACTGTGGAAAGCATCGAATTTTCCTTTAGGTACAATACAAAAATTACACAGTAGTAACTAGTCGACTATCTTCTTATCAAAGTTCTACTGTGGCTATTTCACTAAATGATACAATACTGCAGCGAATATAATCTAGTATCAACAAGTAACATTTTGTTTCAAGAGAATCTCAATATACCATATTAAATTGAACATAAAATTACCTTCAGTCTGTAAGTAAAAACTATTAACAAAATAAGAAAGAAAATCAAGAAAGATGAACATACGGTTCAAAACATACTAATAAACTTACTTTCCGGTTTTTGATCGCATAAGTGGAGTAGATTTATCTTGTGGGAACTGTAACCTAACTGTTACTAAATGCAAATCCAGAATCCAGGCAAAAGACAAATTTACACTAAAGCCATTCTCATTCACTGGTATATCTACAAAGAAAAAGACAAACAAATGCAGGGTTTTTTCTACAATTATCTAACAACATTTATAAGCTATATATAACTTTCAATTGATGTACAGGTCATTGCAAAAAACAAAAATACCTAAACGATTCTGAATAGCAGGAATGTAAGAAAATTTGATAAATTACATACTGACGTGTGTAGAATATAGACATTATAAAAATGCAAACTTCCGAAAACTTGAAATTAAAACCTAAGAAGATTTAATCTGAGCTTTTCGCCTTTAAAATTAATACTATAAGATCTACTGAGTTTCCTCACCGCACAATACTGCTTCAAAGAAATAAGCTAAAAATGTCCCAGAAAACTAATCAGTAAGTTCTTCAGTACAAATGAAAATCAAGTAAACATTTCTCATAGAATAAAAATCACCAGTAAATATGAGAAGTGGTGCGTTGAGTTTCCTCTACAACTTAGAATTTTGGCTAAGATGCGTAGTAAGCATGAGAAAATTATGTATGTTCAGTTACTGACATCTTAGAATGAAAACCAATCCAAGTAGATCTATGCTTCACTATCTCAGGCAATAGACTTCCATCCCACAAGGTGCGGGTTCGGAATTCGTTTCAAATAACGAAAAATGCGTAGCCGGATAATATAAGCAGACCTGGTCTACAGTCGTGTAAGATCCAGTATGCCATGAATTTTCTTTACTGAAATGAATACTAAACATTCTTCGCTTGCTATAACTTACGTCTTATTCATGTCCAGTATCATGAAGAAAAAGTGAAAAAAAACTAGAACAACACTGTCATTCACTATAGAGTTTTCTGCATCCGTCGTATGCAGCTTATCAGAGCAAATAGCCATCACCAATGCTAATGTTACAGACAACTGCAGACAACAATGGACAATACTCCAGCTGGTGACATCAAAATACTAATCGGAGACATGAACGCCAAACTGGGATCAGATAACACAGGAAGGGAACTCATCATGGGTAGAGAAGCTCTCGGAGAGATGAATGGAGAACTCTTCGCCGACTTCTGCGCCTTCAATGAACTAGTGATTGGTGGCAGCGTATACAAACACAAGGATATCCACAAGGCTACATGGGTGTCACCAGATGGGCGAACCAAAAACCAAGCCTAGAAAAACCAAATTGACTTCATCTCAATCTCAAGGAAGTGGAGGCGCAGCCTGCTGGACACAAAAGTAAGAAGAGGAGTAGACGTCGGCTCAGACCACTATCTCGTACAAGAAACACTCCAAATCAAATTAAAAGCTTTCAGAGAATCAGGAGCTGCAGATAGACCACAAGCCAAGTTCAACACTCAAAAACTGAAGGACCAGGACACACAGGACATCTTCACTGCAAGTATAAAAGCCAAAGCCGAGACACAAATCAACACTGGCGAAGACGTCAGCGTCGAAAAGCACTGGAACAACTTGAAAACAGTGTCGAGTCAAACGTGCATGGAAGTTCTAGGCAGAAAGAAGAGACAGGACAAACAATGGCTCACTACGGACACTTGGAAACTAATAGAAGAGAGAGGAATGGTGAAACAAAAGATTCTCCAGTGCACCGACGAGCAACAAAAACGGGATTCGAATGCAAGTTACAATACACTGAACAAAAGAGTAAAAAAGAGTGCCAGAGAAGACAAAAGAAATTCCATTATGGGTAAATTTTATTTTGATAGAGTCTCACAGTATTATACAGTAATATTTAATGATATATATCAAAGACAAAAGAAAGTATTATGAAACCATAGCAAGTGAAGCAGAACAAGCTGCAGGTAAAGGAGACCTCGCAACACTCTACCAAACTACTAGGTACCTATCGGGCAAACGTTTGACACAAATCAAGCCGGTGAAGGATGACAATGGAAAGTCACTCAACAAAGAAGTGGAGCAAAGGAAACACTGGGCTGAACACTTCAAAAGACTCCTAAATCGGCCACCACCTACAACGCGCCCAGCAATACCAACAACGGAGACAGAGCTACCAGTGAACGCCAACCCCCCGACGAAATCAGAAGTCCTGAAGGCAATCAAGATGCTAAAAGCTGGAAAAGCAGCAGGACCAGATGGAATCGCAGCAGAAGCATTGAAAACGGACCCAGAGACAACAGCGGACTTGATGACGCCACTACTGGAGAAGGTGTGGAAAGAAGGCAAAGTACCCGAGGATTGGAAGAAAGGATACCTACCCAAACTACCAAAGAAAGGAGACTTAAGTCAATGCAAGAACTGGCGCGGAATTATGCTCCTGTCCATCCCAAGCAAAATACTAAGCCGCATCATCCTGGAGAGAATCAAACAAGCCCTGGATGAAAAACTTCGGCCAGAACAAGCTGGATTCGGGAGAAACAAGTATGGCATCGATTAAATTGCAACACTACGGATCATCATTGAACAAAGCTTGGAATGGCAGTCAGCTCTCTATCTCAACTTCATTGACTTTGAAAAGGCCTTCGATAATGCAGCATCGATCGAGAGGTGGTTTGGCAACTACTTCGCTACTACGGGGTGTCACCAACAATTATACATCTCATCCAACAGCTATACGACAATGCTGCATGCCAAGTAATCCACAACGGGAAACTTACGGAATCCTTCGAAGTGAGGACAGGAGTAAGACAAGGCTGCCTACTATCGCCAATGATTTTCTTGATTGCAGTAGACTGGATAATGCGACAAACAGTGGGCAATGAGGAAACAGGCATAAAATGGACACACAAAAAACTTGGAGGATCTGGACTTCACCGATGATATATGTCTGATTTCCCACAAACTGGAAGATATGCAGGCGAAAAGCAACAAGTTAGCAGAAGAAGCATCAAAGATAGGACTTCAGGTGAACATAGATAAAACAGAGGTGATGAAAATTCCTGGGCAACACCACCAACAGCAACAACAACTGACAACAATCAGCATAAATGGGAGGAACCTGAAAGAAACAACCTCCTTCACCTACCTGGGAAGCATCGTCTCAACTACAGGCGGAACTGACGAGGATATCAAAGCAAGAATCGGAAAAGCAAGACAAGCTTTCACTACTCTCAAGTCTGTGTGGAGGTCAACAACACTCAGCATTAAAAATAAGATCCGGATTTTCAACTCCAATGTGAAGTCAGTGCTACTATACGGATCAGAGACTTGGCCAGCGCGTCATAAAGAGCATCTCAAACAAACTACAGACCTTCATTAACAGTTGTCTTCGCTCAATACTCAAAATCAGATGGCCGGCCAGAAAAGATCAGCAACAGAGATCTCCGGGAGCGAACCAACCAGGAACCGATTGTGAAACAAATAGGCAGGAAGAAATGGAGATGGATTGGCCATACTCTGAGGAAACCATCAAGTGACATCACTAGACAAGCCCTTGAGTGGAACCCGAAAGGGAAGCGGCAAGTTGGTCGCCAGTGCAAGGGTGACTTGGAGGAGGTCATGTGAAGAGGAGATGAAAACGTATGGGCAGACTTGGAGCCAGGTGAAGACTCTAGCAGAGAACAGAACGCAATGGAGACGCACGGCTGAAGCCCTATGTTCCTGTAGGAATTAAGGGATACAATAATAATAATAATAATGTTGACGTTAGATATTAAAAATGATACACTTTGCATTTTCAGTTCTGTCTATTGACAGAATGCAAGCACATGCCAAATGACTCACTAATCAAAGAACCATTTATTAACTCAAAAAAAACATAGGTAACACAAACAAAAATACACCCTAAATGAGAACAATAACTAGACCAAAACAAAATATACATTTATATAGATTAAAAGATGTATAAAAATATCAGGTTTTAATATAGCTGACTTAACAAGGAAATTTCCAGCTAAACTACTAAGACTTCTAGATCTAAGGCCGATTTCAACACAGATTTTATTAATGTCTAAACTGTCAACAATACATTTTTTATTCCTTGAGTTCCGAGTGGAACATTAAGTTTCAAGCTTGAGGCCTTGAAATTTTAGTAGCGGTGGAGTTGCTTTTACGGAATGGGGTTGCTAGCACAACACTCAACTTTCCCCTTTTTCCGGGCTTACTATCGGCAAATAAATTAGTTAGGAATCAAACTTCGGCTCACTTGCGTCTTTGGCGAACATTTTACCCCTAAACTACCGTCAACAATATATACATATGTATATAAATACATTTATATATATATATATATATATATATATATATATATATATTATGGCAAAGTAAAACAGAGAACATAGTCCCACCTGTTGTTTTTGGAATACCAACTGTCAAAGAAACTGTTAATGGATGTAGATTAATTGTTTTCTCCGTTGTGGATTCTTTATCCATCTCATCTAAATCTTCTCCTGTATGACGCTTCTTTTTCTTGTAAAAAAGTTGAGTAATAATAATAACAATATTAAAGGTGATTTAATTGGAAAGAAATTTCGCGAAAAACTTAGTATTAAAGATTTACTCGTCTACTGAGTTTCAAAGTGAAAGATACTGGTACGTTTAAGAATTCTCTCTGGGGGCATCCAACCCGGCCTAGTTAACTAACTTGCTAGTTTTTTACCTGGTTCCAAGCCCGGGTAAAGAGGGAAGGTTAGGCGTAGGGCTAGCAACCTCACACCACTAAACCTATCAAACCGCTAGAGAAACTTCGACGCACAGAAAATATATATATCTTCACTGGTATCGGGGAGGCGAAATGATGCGACCTGTGAAAGCATTCAAGAAGCCAGTCAGCCAGCCGATGTGTCTTCTCTCGATGAAAGCAAGAATAAGGATGGGGACGTGGAATGTCCGTAAAATGTACAAGACTGGGAAGGCTACCCAAGTAACCAGCGAAATGTGAAGATATGGCTTAGAAGTACTGGGTATCTGCGAAAGTAAATGCAAGGGATGTGGACTGACAACATTGTCAACGGGACAGTCAATATTCTACTCAGGTCTGGTCACCCAGACGACAACCACGAACACACTTAGGGACTGGCTATCATGATGCTACCAGTGGTAGCCAAAGCCAATTTCATCCAGGATCCTGACAGCAAGATTCAACTCCAAGGGAAGGAAGGTTAAATCTTCCAATGCAACACACAGTTCTACAAAAAACGCGGAACAAGAAAAGGAGGATTTTTACAGACAACCACAAACAGTAATGGACAACATCTCAAATGGCGACATCAAAATCCTCATGGGCGATATGAATGCCAAACTGGGAGCAGATAATACAGGAAGAGAGCTCATCATGGGTCGAGAGGCTCTCGGAAAAATGAATGAGAATGGAGAATTATTCGCAGACTTCTGCGCTTTCAACGATTTGGTGATCGGAGGAAGCGTATGCAAGCAAACGGTAAACATTAAGCAACATGGGTTTCGCCTGATGGACACACCACAAACCAAATAGATTTCAACTCAACCCCGCTCAACGAAGTGGAGACGCAGTTAGTCTACTGGATACAAAGTCGAGAAGGGGAGCAGATGTGGGCTCAGACCATCATCTAGTTCAAGGAACCTTCAAGGCGAGGCTGAAATCCTTCAAAACAACTGCAGACAGGCCACAACTCAAGTTAAACATTCAGAAACTGAAGGACAAAACTATATGGGAATGCCTTCAATACAGATCAGATCACAGCAAAGTCGGAGACACTTCGTGGTATGACTGAGGAAGCAAGTGTGGAAGAACACTGGAACTCTCTGAAGGTTATGTTCAAGGAAACGTTAACAGATGTTCTAGGAAGAATGAAGACACAAGACAAGGAATAGCTATCAACGTAAACCTGGAAGCTAGTCGAAGAGAGGAGGATGGTGAAAGAAAAGATGATTCAATGGAAAAATGGACAACAGAAGGAGAAGTTGAGTTTAATGTACACTGCACAGAATAAAGAAGTAAAGAGTGCTAGGAAAGACAAAAGACAACTCTATGACACACTGGCCGGCAACTGAAGCAGAACAAGCGCAGGCGAAGAGATATCAGGATATTACATCAAACAACCCAGTCTTCATCTGGAAAAAGATCAACCCAGATGATGAAACCAATAAAAGATGCTCAAGGGAACCTGATCACCAAGAAGGAGAAACAAATAAAGCAATGAGCTGATCACTTTAAAGGAGTCTCAAATCGACCACCATCGGCAACTCACCCAGAAATACCACCAACAGCACGCACAGAATTGCCAGTGGACAACAATCCTCTAACGAAAGCAGAAATCCTGAAAGTGATCAAGCTACTGAAGTCCGAAAACGTAGCAGGACCAGATGGAGTCCCCACAGAAGCACTGAAAATGGATCCAGAGACCGCAGGGGATGTGCTCAAGCCATCATTACAAAAGGTTTGGAAGTAAGGAAAGGTACCTACCAATTGGAAGAAAGGCTACCTTGTCAGGCTGCCAAAGAAGGGCGACCTGGGCCTGTGTAGGAACTGGCGTGGAATAATGCTCTTTTCCACGCCAAGTAAAATACCAAGTCGTATCATCCTGAAGAGAATAAAGGATGCACTGGATACAGAACAGCGCCACCCACCGACCGAAGCAAGCTGGATTCAGGAAAGGCAAATCATGTGCTAATCAAATTGCAACTCTACGCATCGTCGTCACAGAACAAAGCATAGAATGGCAGTCAAACCTCTACCTCAACTTCATCGACTTCGAGGCCTTCGACGGCGTTGACTGAGAAGTAATTTGGAAACTACTTCACACTACGGCGTGCAGCACCCCAAGTCTTTATCAATCTCATTCAACAGCTATATGGCAGTGGCACGTATCAGGTGATCCACAACGGAAAACTCCGCGAGGTGTTCGAAGTGCATACAAGAGTAAGACAGGGCTGTCTATTATCACCAATGATATTCTTAATTGTGGTGAACTGGATTATGCGTCAGACTGTGGGGAGCGAGGAGACAGGAGTACAAAATTGAAACTCAACTACCTTTCTCCTCACTCAATAGCAATTTTGACCTTATCAAATTTCTAAATTTGTGCCGTTGAATATTACTTAGTTTATAACTTTTATTTCTACTTTTGAAGCTACTTCTAAGTAATTACATCAATTATATCACCCCTACTACTCGATAATGGACTATTATACACTTTTGGTAAATATAAATACGACTGTACAGCTTCTGAAGATGATTTCGTCGATAAAGAAAATTTCCTTAGCTGAATTTGTCTTTTGTTTTCCTCATTTGGATTTATATTAGTATTGGAGAAATGAATATAACAGCCAGTAATTATATAATACGGAGTCAGTAGAAACTGAGAAAACGTCATTTCTGTCATATCACGAACATGAAACACTTTCTACAGCAATGTATAATAAAAAAACAAGGTTTAACGTAGTCACAACAGATAAAAAGTAGTACTAACGCGCTTCTTATTTCCTTCTCTGTCTTCCATATCAGAATCCTCAGCTTCTTGTGGAGAAGACTGTAAGTCTGACTGTTCCAATGACTGATTAACAGCTCTTGCCAGTTCCGAATCACCATCAATAGATACAAAAAGTTCTGAGTTTTTCCCTGGAAAAAAAACGATTTATTTTTTAAACAAATATGGAATTACTAGAAATTCATAGTTTACAAACTGATAGCACGTTACATCAATATCAGTCTTCAAATTTAGGGATATTTCAAATAGTCTCGCTGAAAATTATGGAATACACAGTCAAAATTTAACTGTTTCCAAAAGAAGTGTAAGAAAATAATGATGTAGAGCTTCTCATGTAAATATATACATAATGTCACCTATATCATGTCAAGATGCCAAGGATGAAATATCTACAAAATAAAAAATTACCATCTCTATACACGTCTCTCATTATCTCAACTGCCACTTATGCTACACCAGATATATGCACTATTTCATGACGTATGCGAATCTTACGTAGCAGTAAGTGCTATAAGGAAACGAATATGATTAACCATAATGCATAGGTAATTCGCAGTGCAATGATGCAATTTAGTTAGACGATAGAACAACATAAAGGCTAATATGCAGTTTACAAGGAATTACTAACTTAACTCAGGTTGATGAACAACGCCCTGAATGTAAGCTTTACAGATGCATACTACTACAAACAAACAGTTTCTACTAATCTAAAATAACCAAAATTGTGGATAACCCTTTCAGAAAATAAATATTCACTAAATATCAACTGCTCTTTTGTGAACAAGAATAATTGTCTAACCTACCTGACATAGATATGTATGACTTTAAAACCGAATACAGGATATACAATGGTGACGGCAAAAGGAAGGCCAATTTGTACTGTTCATTTTCTTTTGTGAATGGTAAATCCATCAGCTCTTGCACAATTAAAGTGCTCTGAAAAAGATGTTTATAAACTCTATGTGACTAACTTACCTCAATGACATCTTTTAATTTCGGTCCAAAGCTTGCTAAATAGTTTCGTTTATTCTTAATTGTTTGTGATGTAGATTCAACTGAATTTTTTAATTTATCACAAGAATCAGATAAACTTAAATAAAATAAAGAAAGTAATACAAGGAAGATTACGCTTTTCTTTGTTCAAGTTCCCAATAAAGACGTTCCAATGTTTCTTGATGTTCCGACAAACTTCCAACCTGTTAACTAATATGATGGCAAAAACAAAGAAATTACTTTACGTCCTGTTTTTTCATAAAATTCATCTACTGGAATTAGTTTTATATCTTCATGTCTAGATCTGTTTGCGCAAATAAGAAATAAAACGTATCGCTTGCCTGAATTCTAAGCAAGTTTGAATTTCATTTTCGAGATGAGCGACTTCATATAAAAGGTTTTGCAGACCCAAATGTAGCTGATCCACTTTATTTTTATTCTGTTACAATGATATGAATAAGTTATAAGACATGTTCAACGTGTGCAAACTACCTCTAGAGTTAGTTCTCGAGCCTTTCGAATTCGAAATTGTGTTCTTCTGTTCAATTCCTTTAAAGACATCATCAGACTAGCAAATTGTGAGGAGCAAATCTAAGAGTACAATAATCAGCTGCTAACATTAAAGTACTTTTTCTTGTGACTTTTTACGTTGCCACGTTGTTCTTATCGTTTCCCGCAGTAATTCACAGTATTCCCTGAACTGCAGAAGATCATGAGCGCTTCCATCCAATTTCACAGAGTTCTCTTCATCATAAAAAGAATTTGTTTTTGGATTTTTCACCTGTACATGGTTGAAGTAAATTGAATAAAATACACACCTCTTCACTAGAAACGACTTCATCTTGCGATTTCCCTTTTGTTGACATTCCCTATGAGAGAAAATTCACACTTAATATCATGAGTATAATTTACTAGAACTTCCTGTAACTCGTCTAAATGTACAAACCATTCAAGTAAAATACATAGGGTCGGATATGACGTAACCTGGGATTATGATACCTTTGATACACAAAGGTTAAAAATTAGTGCAATAAAAATAAATCTACACTTAGTGAAATTCTAGCCTTACTACCTATAACCCATTTTATTGCCATCTAAGCAGGAAAAACAATTATTCTATTTCGTGGATCTTGTCAGATACAAATATCCTGAATCAAATTGTTACAGTGAAATAAGATAGTGATTTTACACTGAAAACAGTGAGTAAAATGTAAGATGGACAAGGTAAGCAGGTCAAAGTGGAATACTGCACAGGTGATAAATTATGTTGCAGCACATTAAGGGAAGGTGAACAAATGTAAAATTGCGTAACAAAAACTTATTATAAGGTGTAGAATAATTGAATTCAGGTCAGTCTTTATGTTCAATGATACATCTGACTGATGGATCGACGTAGAATTTCACACACGTGCATCAATTCACTTCCCCACAAACCACAAAAGCACAAAAAACATGACAACGCAAACAGAATGATAGTAGAACAAACGAGCATAAGAGAAAAAAGAAAATTACAAGTTAAAATAGGTGAAAACCCTCACAATGTCGAAGATGACAAGCAGAGTATACTTTTGTGCCACTGTGAACGACTTTCAAACAACCCACTAAGAATTTCTGGCTACTAGTCAGTAGCTTTCAGGAGAATATAGCCATGCAACTCAGCCTAACAGTTAGGAACTTTATGGACTGATGCAATATTGTGGCCTAACCACTACTATTCCCTTCAACTTAATTCTATTTCACCTAACATTGCTTTCTTAGAAAGACGGTGGTTCAACATAGATAGCACATGTACTAGCGACCTAAATGAAACTTTATATATCTTTCCATGGGCTTACTTACCTTGTTTCATACCCTAAGTTTAAATTCCTTAGTACTTATCTTAGTGCCTTATCTAAAATGATCAACCTAACGAAGACACTGGTGTGAAAAACTTTGAAAGCACACATAGCCCAGTGAAGGAAATTGTTATGGAAATAACAACTTTTTCGCCTTGTTATTAGTTGGAATTAAGATTTTGTAGTTTAGAAGCAATGGTAAGATTGCAGTATATGTATATCCTCATCACTCAATTTAGCTAATTTCTACTAATTCACCCGAATCGTTTACTTAACCCATCTTACTAAGCTGCATTAGTTTCCTTAATCATCTACTACCTCAGTCATTCACAGAAGTTTAAAGGAAGACTCTTCGGGTAGCTTAAAAGTCCCAAGAGGTGATCCAGCAACATCTCGAAAGACTAGATGATTAAAAATAATTCCAGGGAGGCATTAATTACAATTTTTCAAGGAGCTTTGCAACCGATACATTTTGAGTTGTAAATCATCTGTTATTTTTGATTCTACTCCACATATTCCAGATATCTTATAAAGTGAAGAATGAAAATTCCCCTACCTGCATATCTTTAAGTTTAATGCTACCTCGCTTATGAAATGATAAAGTAATAGTCCGAAAACAAATAAAAGCTAGGAAAGGTGACTGGCTCGGTTTTTGATACAGGACTTTGCAAAAAATTGCAACACTTCGTACAGCAAAAAGTGGAGAGAAATAATTCAAAGGAACTACAATAAACGGAAATATATTTGGAAAAGATTGTGTATGGAGGATAATAAGGGCGCGCCATAATCAAGCGCTTGGTGGGTCTAGAATAGTAATGAACGATCATGAGGTGATAGCTCAGACTGCATGAATAAATGATAGGAAAATAAAACATGGAATATAATGATGCACGTTCAATATCTCATTAATATTCATACATCCTATACGTTATCAATTCTTTTCGCATACATCTTTAAACTCGTTTGAGGAACTACCCATAAACCAATCATAAATCTAAAGGATACATTTCATGTTAAAATAAAAATGATGCTAGGTGTCATAGAATTAGACGCTTGATACGTTTGCAGACTAAATTTATTCCCCTTGATATATACAAATTACACTGCACAGAAAAGCAGTAGTATTACACACAAGTCCTAACAGCTCCAACTCCATGTATAACGCAAACAGCCTAAATGCCGCGTCTCACAATTCTACATTCAATATCCAATATCCTGATTACGAGCTAGTATAAACAAATGATTTCTTTGAGCTCGATTGTAAGGTAGAGGTTCCAGATCTTCGGTGAACTTGTAGTGTACACTGTACCTTTGAACTTTTGTTTGAATGAACGCAACCTGACCTTTAACCCGACTTCCACTTTGTATTCCTGGAACCTCCTGTGCGGTTTCGGTTTCGCTCTCTCGCTGTACTTTCACCTAGTACACTCTCCGAGCTGACCACCGTTTCACCTCCAGATAAGTGTGTACTTTTTATTTCTTATCAAATTCCATATCTCTTTGTGTAAATACAATTCCGGTCCAGTTACACTTGCCATTTCGAGTCTTTTAACTTTGATCCCGTTCGTTAGTACTTGCACGTTAGGCAGAGTACTATTAAGGCCATAAACGGTGAAGAAGTTTTGTAAGAGCGGTTATTGTTAGGTCGAAGTAAAATCTAAGTCCAACTCTTACAAGTGGTGAGCCCGACTTTTCACCGTTTGCCTACTTAGTAGCCTAAAGTGTAAATAGTCCTTTTTCATATTGGCAGTTTGGTTTTTCACGCAGAGTTATAAAATTTTATTTGCCGTGTTTTTTACTCATATTTTTTGTTATCATATTTCTATCATTTTTATTAATATATCGTCCCGTTCACAGGATGGCTGTAACCGCCAGTCTCACTCAGACTAAGAACTCCTCTGTCGAAGGGTCATCAAAATTAGATGTGGTGGCCTACATAGCTAAGCTCTATGAAGAGATAGATAAGTTAAGACAGGAGATGACACTTGGAAGTCGTTCAAATAGCCGCAACAGCTCGACTCGTGGCAGATCTTCTTCACGAGCTGGCAGCAGACGTCGTAGGCCTCAAAATTCCCAACCTGGAGTGTGCTGGTATCACCGGCGTTATGGTGACAAGGCCCAAAAGTGCACTCGCCCGTGCACCTTTGATGGCCAGCAATCGAGAAACCAGTAAGCCAGCACGTATTGGCAACTAACGTCGCTGGCGAACCACTTCCATGTCGCTTCTTCTATGTTACAAACCGTAACACTGGGACACGCTTCCTGGTTGACACTGGGGCGGAAGTTAGCGTGATTCCACCAACATCTGAAGAGCGCCAGCGGCCACTTTCCTTACAGCTTCGCGCCGCAAACGGTTCGCCAGTCACAACGTACGGTAAAAGGTTCCTGGATCTTAACATAGGCCTACGTAGGTCATTTCACGGGGTTTTCCTTGTGGCAGATGTAACTACCGGTATTATTGGCATGGATCTCATGCAACACTATCAGCTACTGGTTGATACTGGCAAACACAAACTGGTCGATTCAGCTACAAACCTTTCGATCTCCGGTGTTGTGACGCACACACCTGCATTAAGCCCAGTATATTCAACCCCTGCCTCTAACGGCCCTTACGCTGAAGTTCTTCAATCCTTTGCCAACCTGTTCAAACCGGTTTCTACACTTCCTTGTGTGACTTCTACTGTCGCTCATCATATCGTGACCACTGGTCCACCGGTATTTGCAAAGCCACGGCGATTGTCCCCAGAAAAACTACAAGCCGTGAAGGCTGAATTCGAACATATGTTAGATATGGGGATAATCCGTCCTTCCAGCAGCCCGTGGTCTTCCCCTTTACATGTGGTGCCAAAAAATAACGGGATAGATTGGAGGCCTTGTGGTGACTACCGCAAGCTTAACGCACAGACCATGCCAGATCGCTACCCCTTACCACATATACATGACCTTACGTCGTCGCTAAAGGGTGCCACGGTATTCAGTAAACTGGACTTAACCAGAGGCTATCATCAGATTCCAGTTCACCCAGATGATATTCCTAAAAAGGCAGTGATCACCCCTTTTGGTCTTTTCGAATTCCTTCGAATGCCGTTTGGTCTCCGCAACGCCGCACAAACATTCCAGGGATTTATTCACGATGTTTTGCGCGGATTGGATTGCGTATATGCTTATCTTGACGATATTCTCGTGGCTAGCCCAGATGAAGCTAGCCACCGTACGCATTTACAGATGGTTTTCGAGCGGTTAACAACCCATGGTTTGACACTTAACATGTCTAAATGTCAGATTGGCGTCCATTCATTGACCTTCCTGGGACATGTCATTAATGAACAGGGAATTCGCCGGCTACCTGAGAAGGTGCAGGCAATACGCGACTTCCCGGAACCTACGTCAATAAAATCTTTGCGCACATTTCTTGGCATTGTGAGCTTTTACCGACGGTTTGTTCCTCAATGTGCACATATTTTACTCGCACTCACAGACCTACTAAAGAACAAGAGCAAAACGTTCAGCATGACACCAGAGTCTCGAGAAGCCTTCCAGAATATTAAGTCGGCAATTGCAGACGGCACCATGCTAGTCCACCTAGACGTCCATCTTCCGCTTAGCATCTCAGTTGATGCATCTAACACAGCCATTGGAGCTGTTCTACAGCAACTGGTACATACTTCATGGATACCAGTCGCCTTTTTCTCTCGGAAGTTGTCCGCCGCTGAAGCGAGGTATAGCACCTTTGGCAGAGAACTCCTCGCCATATACGCGGCTATCAAACATTTTCGCCACTTTGTCGAAGGTCGGAAATCCACAGTATTTACCGATTACAAGCCCCTGACGTATGCCCTCCACACTACTACAGATAGATATTCTCCACGCGAATTGCGTCACTTGGACTACATCTCACAATTCACTTCGGATATTCAACATATTTCGGGGGTTGACAATGCTGTGGCGGACGCCTTGTCTATGATATGTACCATGTCGGCGCCACCAACCATTGACCTGAAACAGATGGCGCAACGTCAGCTTACAGAGTTAGATCTCGATAAGCTCTCGCTAATTACCTCCTTGCATATCACGCGTATACCGCTTGTTAATAGCGAGGGTACCATCCTCTGCGATCTGTCCACCGGTACCCCGAGACCCATCGTTCCACCTTCATTGCGCCGTACGGTATTCGATAGACTCCACAACCTTTCCCACCCAGGTATCCGGGCAACGGACAAACTAATGTCAGCTAGATTTGTCTGGCCTGGTACAAATCGTGACGTGCGTATCTGGGCACGTGCCTGTGTGCCGTGTCAACGAGCTAAAGTCCACAAACACAACATCACTCCAGTGGGTTCCTTCTCCACACCTGATGCTCGCTTTAGCCACGTACATCTAGATATAGTGGGTCCTCTACCACCATCAAATTGCCACTGTTACTTGTTGACATGTGTTGACCAGTTCACTCGTTGGCCAGAAGCTATTCCCATCTCCGATACGACCGCAGAAACCATTTGCCGAGTGTTCATGGAATGCTGGGTAGCTCAATTCGGATGCCCATCTTCGGTGACTACAGACCGTGGACAACAGTTTGAATCAACCCACTTCAAGAAGCTCTTAGAGCTGCTGGGGTGCAAACGCATCCGAACAACCGCGTACCATCCAGCAGCAAATGGACTTGTAGAGCGTTTTCACCGCCAACTGAAAGCTTCGTTAATGGCTACCGAGAATACTAAGTGGACCGAGTCACTTCCCCTAGTGCTACTTAGCATCCGTTCCACGCTCAAAGCAGACTTACAGTGCACCTCCGCAGAGTTGGTGTTTGGTACCACCCTTCGTCTACCGGGTGAAATTATCTCACCTGAAAGTGGTGAGCCAAGTGCTACGGATGTACAATGTTATACTCAGAACCTCAAGCGCCTTATGCAGCGCCTGCAACCAACTCCCACACGCACACAAACCAAGAGAGTGCAAGTAGATGCCAGACTCGATGACTGTACACACGTTTTTGTGCGTTGCGACGCCGTTCGTAGACCGTTACAACCTCCTTATGATGGACCATTCAAGGTCGTTAGTAGGAAAGAAAAATTTTTTGTTATTGATCGACTTGGCCGTCAAGACACCGTAAGTGCCGACAGACTTAAAGCGGCCTACATTGAAGAATCTGTACCCCTCACGCCTACACAACCAGCAACTACGCCCGCACCCACACCCCAGCCAAGTTCGATTGTCCAAAATCCTACTAAACCTAGCAGTTCTCCGGATGAGACAAGTAAAGCACCGGTTACACGCTCTGGTCGGCGTGTACACTGGCCTAAGCAATACTGTGAATTTGTTAACTAAACGCTTTTAATTACAAGAGTAACTCATACCTTCATGTTTTTTCTCAGGTTACATTCATTTTTCATGATATTTACTCTTTTGGGTTTCGTTGTGGGCAGTAGCCACTTTTTCATTTACTAATCTTGCTAGATTTCTTTCTCGTTACAGTGTTCTAACATTTTATTTTTGGCTTTGCACTCGAACCGCTAGTTAGACCAGTCCATTCCATTGTCGTATGGTGACTCCCAACACTCGTGGAATTACAAACCAAACGAACAAAAATATGGACCAGATAAAAAAATAAAAAAATAAAAAATAAAATAAGATGTAAAAACAAAAACTTTCACTGTATAGTTAAACGGACCGTTAAATATTTTTGTATATAAATACGTCACTTCTATGCTGTACATTTTAATCCGCTCAATCGATTTTCACAGATTTTACTATTTTCACTTGGGTTATGCCATGATGAAACTTATTTATTTTGTGACCCATACTGGTAATTACTTTGCATCACTTTAATTAAACAGCTCGCAACATTTTTTTAACAAATGGTGATTGTACCTATTCATAGCTATTGGTTAAACACACACTTCCCTGTACCTTGCATAAGTTTTCACAGCGCTAGCAAATTCCCTTGTTTAATTTCAATTTGGCGTACCACTCCCAGGTTACACTAGTTTCCTTGCATTTATTCCGCTTAAGTTTTTGTTAACACCTTATGCTGATTTTTAAATCTTAACCTCTTCTTCTATTCTTTTCTGTTGCTTTTACTTTATTCCTCCTAATACGCTGGTATATTGATTGCCTTTGGTGTTACTACTAGTTTTGGTTGATGAGGAAGGATGGAACATTAGTCTAAGAGGAAACTTAGACATAATGAGTCACCTTCCCTTTATAACAACCTGGGGTAACGGAGGTAAACCACCAGACCTCCACATAACCCAGCCCGTAATAGTATGTCGTAAAAAAAACTAAATAAATAAATAAAAAAGATAAGTAAAAATAAACGACGTTAAAAAATTTTTTAAAAAACTCGCACCAAGGCACCAGCGTTATTCCTTCTTATATTCCATCTTACTCCATTGATCATAAACAAAGTGCTCATAAATTGCCTTAATTTTGTTTCCTTCATTCTTTCCTTTCTCAACATATATATTTTTAAAAAAATGAAAAACAACTATTTTATTACTATCTTCACATTTTCTTGTCCATTCACTGTTATTGTACGCCACCTTGTTCCTTTTATATATCGAAGCTTGCTGTTATCCCACCAACCTTCTAAAGGGGGATAACCTGTAGTGTACATTGTACCTTTGAACTTTTGTTTGAATGAACGCAACCTGACCTTTAACCCGACTTCCACTTTGTATTCCTGGAACCTCCTGTGCGGTTTCGGTTTCGCTCTCTCGCTGTACTTTCACCTAGTACACTCTCCGAGCTGACCACCGTTTCACCTCCAGATAAGTGTGTACTTTTTATTTCTTATCAAATTCCATATCTCTTTGTGTAAATACAATTCCGGTCCAGTTACACTTGCCATTTCGAGTCTTTTAACTTTGATCCCGTTCGTTAGTACTTGCACGTTAGGCAGAGTACTATTAAGGCCATAAACGGTGAAGAAGTTTTGTAAGAGCGGTTATTGTTAGGTCGAAGTAAAATCTAAGTCCAACTCTTACAAACTTATGCATAGTAAGTCCCGCCACTCGACTGCTTCAGCTCTGGTAGACTCCAAGAGGTGTGGTGTGGGGACTGATCAAAATGTGGTTTGTAGTGTGCAGTATGTTACGACTCAGTTGCTGCCGTGAATGGAGTTTGACCTAACACCCGTTGGTCATTCGGTGTAGTCATAAAAGTAGAATAGTAATAGTAATAATAATAGGTTGTAGTGTAGATAATATAGGTTGAGATAAGTGAAATAATAAAGGTGACCAAAGAAAAGATAGAGTAGTCGGTACAGTGGGAGAAGACAGGACGGGTCGTGGGGATTTAGCTTGTATGCTTATCCATTGACAGTGTGGTTTCAAATTCTAAGAGGATAAGCCATTGAGACACAAACCATGCATTTCTGCATGATTGTCCAGCTTCCGCTTAAAAGTCTCCACAGATGGTGCTGTAGTTACGGCCGCCGGTAAAGCGTTCCAGAGACGGCATGCTCGAAGCGAAAAGAAATGTGAACGCACTCGAGTCTTTGGTCTCTGGTGTGCTATCCTTAGCGGGTTATCTCGTGGAAGCCTATAATCACTTAATGGTAGGATGCTTTTATTAGGGTGGGCCTGGTCATTTAAGATCTTATAGACGGTGATGAGGTCTCCCCTGTGACTACGGTAACTAAGTGTGAAAAGACTAAATTTCTTCAGTCTTTCCTCAAATGATTTGTTGTGGAGGCCGATCACCCATTTTGTGGCTCATCTCTGGACACTTTCTAGAATGTTAACATCCCTTTTGAGTAGCGGAGGAGCACTGATATTATGCACCTCAAGGAGTGGCCTCACGTATGTCGTATACGACCTTAAGAATAGTTCGGGAGTAAGGGCTCCCAGCTGCCTATGCATAAAGTGTAAAGTTGCGTAAGTTTTGGCGACATCCCTCGTGTAATTTACACTGGTGTCTAGCTTTTCTGTTAAAATAAGACCTAGGTCGCGTTCTGATGGCACACAACTCAAGTTCTGGCCAACAAGGGTGTAATTTACACAATGTGACCTGCCGGAATGAAGTTGCATTACTTTGCACTTTTTTAAGTTGAAAGGCATTCCGTTAGCCAGAGCTCAGTCCCCCAGATTTGCAGGTCAGCCTGCAGTCTGTCGGAGTCTTCCGATGAGTTTATTTCTCTCCAAATCTTTGCGTCGTCGGCGTAAAGAAGCGCATAGCAGTTCAGTTGACAGAGCAGGTCATTGATAAAAATCGAAAACATCAGCGGCCCTAAGATAGAGCCCTGAGGAACTCCTGATGCCAAGGTGTGCCAGGATGATCGGATGCAGTTGACTTGGGTGCAGAATTCTATCTCGCCTAAGTAATCTTTCAGCCATAAGAGAAGTGCTTCAGAAACACCCGCCTTGCTTATTTTGTGAAGGAGCAGACCATAGTGAACTGTGTCAAATGCTTTCGCAATGTCGCGAAAGATCACATGGACTGGCACTTTTACGTCCCAGGATAGTGTCCAATCGTTCCAAGCTAGTAGAAGATTCGTCACACAGGATCTTTCCCTCCTGAAACCGTGCTGTGCTTCATGGAGTAGGTTATTCCCGTCGAAGTACTTTCTCATGTGGTCGTCAATGAGACTTTCCAATATCTTCGACATCACTGGGAGTAGCGCAACTGGTCTGTAACTAGTCGCATTCTGCCGGTCACCACCCTTGAAGATAGGGGATAGGATAGCTCGTTTCCATTCACATGGAAGTTTCCCTACATCAAAGGAGTGTTGAAACAGATCGCTTAGGGGTTGGCAGAGACACTGCTTCAAGACGGATGGTCTTGTGTCATCGCAACCTGCAGACTTTCCGAAGCCAACTTTCCCAATTTTACGAGTACCGCTTTTTTCCTTCACGTTCCTCAGTGGAACATAGGGCTTCAAGCTAGTGGCTTGAAGTTTCTGTAGCAGTGTTTATTTTACAGGATGGAGTTGCTAGCCTCATGCCCAACCTTTCCTCTTCACCAGCATTATTTCCGGCTTAGCGAGGTAAAGGAGTGCGTCGGTCGGGGATCGATCCCCAGACCATGTGTACGGTCGGCAAGCGTCCTAACCGCTATGCCACCGACGCAGTTCAAAATGGGGAAAATCAACTTATTTTAAATAGTTTAGGTAATTTAAATAAGTGTGACCAGACAGCTTGTACTTAATAATGCTGATCTATAATGTCATTTATCAAAACTGAAGAAGCCAGCAGTAAAAGTATCAAAGACTTAGAAATGGTTGTAAGTTAGGGGAAGAAGAAACGTAAGTAACAAAAGGAAAACGAAAGAATCAAAAAAGCAGTGTAGAAAAATGTCGCTGCTAGACAACAAGCCAATATTGCTGAACAAACTCGTGCTGGACGGTTAAAGGAGTAATTTCTAACAAAAAGTAAGTCCAAACTTGAATAAATGGCAATCTTAAGAATAATCCTTAGAAACGAAAAGGAAGGAAATATATGCAAAATAAAGGTAGCCAGTGTAGGTCAATATTCAGAGAATTTCGGTTTTAACTAAACTTGATTTTTCACTACAGCAGGTTGATTAGAGACGCTCTTTGATTTAAAATTTTGTTCATCCTTACTTGTTGATACACCAGCGAGTAAAGCTGATAAGTACGGATGATGAGAAGTTTTTGGAGTTATCAGCATAAATCATTCTACATCACCGGGAAACAGATACTGAATGGGCTGAACACGACCCAGAAATCGAATCAAGGACTGTTGAACTTTACGACGCTGTTCAGCTACACGACGGCGTAATGAAGCTGGATCGGGAGCTATTGGTGCACGCCTAACTCGTGTGGTTACAAAAGTGTGTGGTTCAGGTAGTGAAGGAAGCTGTAGGTGTGCAGGAACTGGAGGTGGTAAAGAAGATGACAGTTGGTCTGAAGCACCTGAATTAGAAGTACATGTAGATCCCATTGCACCGAGACGAGGACTGCCCGACCAATTAAGACGTAAAGACAACGGTCGAGGAATAATTGTTGTCCCATCTGGACCCAATACTGCAGAGCATGAAACACCTATTTTTTGTGAACCGCCAATGGCGACAGGTTCTTTACATCCCCTCTACATGCGTTTACGGGGGATTTCATTTAGGCCTGAAACACCAAACCCCAAATCTAATAATCCAAGTACGATATCGCTCAAAATGATTGACGTTCTTCCAGTGCTTTCAGCATTCATAATTGAAGAAACAGCTAAATCTTCAGTAAATGAGAAGAAAAGATTTGAAAGCACTCTCAGTGCAGCATATTCAATGGCTGCATATCCAACCGACAAAACAAGGTAGCCAATAGGGCCTTCAACAACATCCAGAACACCCTGTGGGCATTCTTCACCAGTCAACAGACGGCTAGACATCCCTCAAGAGCACTGCAGAAATTCTTTGAGGCTAGACACAACGGGAGCACACAATACGGTGAATTAACGCCCCAAGGTCACCAATCTACGAGTACCATAGCCGGGGTAACTCGAAATGTACCCAGCAGGTTTTCGCACGTTGGTTTTGCATTGTAATCTTGATGTGTTGTGGGGGTAAAATCCTCGTTACTGTTCAGTTGCCTGTGAAAGGCTAGACTGAATGTCTCCGCCATTTCAAGACTAGTAAGAGATTTCCCATCAGAACCCACTAGATTGCATGCTTTCTGGTTGGTCGGTTTTCTTTCAGACATAAACCTGTATAGGCTTTTGGAGTTCACGAGAAGCTTGTTGGCGAGGTTTCTCTGAAATGTCCTTCCCTCACTCCGGACCCGTATGTTACATCGATTCCTGAGTTCAAGGTACACTTCATGTTCGGTTGACTCTTCGATAGTCGCCACGCAAACCAGGCTTTTCGCTTCGCCTGCAGAAGGCGCTGTGTATCCCCTTTTAGCCATGAACGTTGCTTCCTAGCTTTTGGTGTGACTAAAGGAACGGTGTCTGGGACCGCCTGGTGAATGATCTCCTTTACCACTCCCCAGTGTTTTTAGGCAAATTTGCCTCAGACAAAAGTCTTCGCATTTTGGTGTAATTGGCTTCGTTATAACACAGATAGGGCTGTGTATTGTCCCATTGTAAACGCTCGCGGAGGACTATGTCGAATACTATGACCGCGTGGTCACTACTACCTATGAGAGTCGTGATCTGAACGTTTTCCACTAGTAGCTGATCACTGGTGAGCACGTAATCCAGTCTAGAAGACTTCCCATCTGGGCCCCATCTAGTATCCATTCTGACATTTTCAGTGAATCCGGCCTCCCTGATGGAATGCAGCAGATTTCGATCAAATCTATAATGGGCGTATCTCAACATCAAGTTAAGAGATGGGGCATTGAAGTCTCAAGCTATGACAATTTGATTATAATCCATGTCTTGTGTCGCTGAAATTGTATTCAGCAGTACCTGGTTGTGGTCTGCTCCGCATGAAGGTGATCTATGAATGCTGTCCACTAGATACTTATAGTACCCAACGGTGAAATGGCACCATATGGAGTCAGGGAGCTCAATGAGAGGAGGGTCCATTGCATGGACACATCTGAGCTGTTTGTCGACGTATATGGCGACTCCACCTCCTTTCAGGTCCCTATTTCGCCTGACTAAGACCATATCATTTATACTGACTTCACTGTCTGCCACCGTAGGGGTTAGCCAGGTTTCCGTCAGTATTATGATTTTGGAGTTCAGCTGGGATTGTAGGTGTCTAAGTTCAGCTATTTTGCCTCTTAGCCCTATCACATTACTGTACAGGCAACTGGTAGTCAGTCTCACCACGTGCCCGTATTGGGGGGTGGTTGACGTGATGTGGGCTGTCGGTTGAGGAGTTATCCTACGAACTAGTTGGCCGATTTCCCGGGAGCTGGCCTGTTGGCGTTTTTTCTTCTAGTTCAATCGAAGCACTTGGATGACACTGGCTATCATCGTCCGTGCTGCACCGCTGTATTGTGACTAAGGGTTGCGGATTTTCTTTGACAACGCTTTGTTCTCTCCTTTGGATACGAGGCCGGCTCTCGCAGCAGCGAATGTGTCTACTGACATTGTCCTTGGTCTTGTACCATCTCTGGAGAGCAGTAGTCAACTGGTCTCGGGGGCTGAACTTGACAGCTAACAGATGTGGCGTGTTAATTGACATAAGGTGAGTGGGTCGAGGCAGTCTATAAATAGAGACAGCCTCTGAACTTCCCAGAGCCATCTGGGATGCCAACCATCTCCATTACTGTACATCGTGACAGTGCTTCTCGCAAGCGTTACCAGTTACCAGTTCGGGAATGCCGTGAACAACCATGGAGGCAGAAGGAATAAGCTCTGGCGACTACCTCGCCATCTGTCTTTCCTTCTATGGCCTGTCTGGCCTAACACGTATATTGCAGGCCCTCCCTATAGAAAGGACTTGAGAAGTCAGTAAAACTTTTTCGACATCCTCGGTAGAGCCCAGTGTTACCCTCAGTGGGGATGGTTTGCCTTGAGGAGCAGCAGTGCCCCTATACAATCTGCATAGTTTTACTGGTTGGATGTCCAGACCCAGTGTGCTACAAAAGTTGGACCACTGTTCCTGATCAAACAGGGCCCTATTTTCCAGCAGACTACTACTACAGTCTGGTATATTGAAGAGGATTACGCAGTTTGATCTACTAACCGTGGGCTTAGGTTTGGTCCTCGCACATTTGTCATCCCCTTTAAGACCGTTTTGTATCGTCTGGTGCAACTGGGTATTATTGTGTGTCGCAGTGGCGTGGCCACTAATACTGGCAGACCATAAGGGTCTTTTTCCAGCGATAGACGCCCTTGGTGCTTCAGCCTCTGTATCTGGAGCGGTTATGGCAAGAATTGCAAGTATAACCGGTGTGGATTTTGGTATCCCCGATTTACGTGCAATTATGCTGTCTTCCGAGTTGGTGGGAGTAGGACGTTTCACGTTTTTCCCTGATACCTCTACGCCATCTTTGGCTTTCAAGGAATTACACGAGGCTGCATCAGGATGGCAACTTGGGCATATGTACCGGAACCATGGGCATGGGTTAATAATGATAATAACAATGTATATTTTCATATAAACATAAATTTACATGAAAATGCATGTCATTTTTACAGGCACGATCAAGTATGATATTATGTCAAATAGTAGATTGTCTACAAGTCAATAATTTTTGAACAGCTAAATATTTGATATATATACACACATTGCCTGACTCAGACTGTATCATTATTGAATTGAACAGTAGTCCTTCAGGTTGCGCGGGAAAATCGACTTCATTTCGTTTTCAACCCGTGTTTGTGGGTATACGATAACCAACCAATATTGAGGTGAGTACAACGTTTACAAGGGATAGTAAGCTGTTTTAGAAAAGTAAAGGTGCTAAGGTGAATCATTAAAGTGTAATGAAATAGGTAAGTGCAATGTATCATTAATAGATGCATTCATAAAGGAAATACAATGGGAGACTATAATCCCTAGGCTGACAAAGTTCATTTGCAATGTATAATGCTACCCATATAGGTCTTACTATCATGATATCCACTTTTGGTTTCAATACAACTACCCACAAGCCGGTTGTTTATATTTCATACCTTTTTGTGAATTCGGTGCATAACCGTACCCTATAGAGAATAGGAATAAAATAAGTCGAATCAAACTGATAAAGAGCTATACAATGTTAGGTTTAATCGAATATAATGAGCAAGTGAAGACTTTATTAGAAAATGAATGAGATGAGACATTGTTAAGTGATATTCGAAGATTCGACAAAGGAAAGCATGTTAATTTATAAGATGCCCCATAAATCTGTGTAGAGCCCACGTGGTCGCATCTCAGCAATAAGCTAACCGAATGGTATGTGTTTAAAGGTAGAAGCATGATCTGTCTAGGCGATCATTATTATCTTTTTCAAGATAAAGATTCAAGCCCTCATAGAAATGCATATTGCTGTTCCTGCAGCATAAAATCATAATATACTTTTGGTACCCCGGTGTCGCATCTACAATTTACCCATTGCTCGCAAAAGTTGCATTCGAAGGCAGAGTCTACTTGTTCGACAACAGAATCACAGACCTTGCAATCGTCTGCCTTCTTGGGGAACGTTTTTGTCGTCTTGCAACGTCGTGAACGTTTCTTTTTGGCCTTCCTGTTTGTTTCAAGGCCTACTATGGAGATGGATGTTATACTGTTCTCACTTCGTGCGGATTAACCACTCGGCTCTATTAACCTAGTCGTGTTAACAGGGATGGAGCAACATCCGCTTGGTTGACTTTGCACAGTTTCACTGTAGGACTGTGGCGACATGGGTAATCTGTCCGAGCAGGGAATATTTGCCCTGGTCTTCAAGACCGGTATGCGAGAGTCCATCACCTTCACCTGTTTGCCTAATTTGGCTGAAGCCCTGGTGACTACGGTGTATGGTGTCCCATTACTTATCTTAGGGTGAGAATCTATAGTCATATTACTCCTAAATTAATACTGATGATTAAATAATAAGAGACAATGGAGTTATTTTGTCCAATAGACTGACAGCAAAAGACAATAGAAATCACAGAATAGAAAGATAAAGTATATAAATAAATAAATAAATTTATTCTCATAGTACAGTACATGAGGGACGCCAGTTTACAGGCATCATCAAATTGTTACAGAAATGGAACCATATAATTCAATCACAATTTACAGGCAGTAGCAAGATATGCTTTACATGTTCGCTGGAGATTATACATACACTTGATAAATGTTAATCCCAGTAGTACAAAACAGCCTTAAAACTTATATACAATCATTTCTGTGCAAAGTTGGAAAAATCTGCTAGATTGTCAGTGAGTGCAACACAACAGGAATTACAGAAGTATTGTCTTCGCATTAACAAAAAAATCAGGTCTTTTGTGGATGGATTACAAGTGCCTGGGAAAAAAATAAAGCTTGAAGTCAATATTCATACATAACTTTGTTGTGTGCAGAG